TTGGGTATCTGAGGTGTGAGTTTGAGATGCTCGGACCCAGTCGTCTGACCATAACGATTTGGACAATTTGATCATCTCCTCTGTCTTTGCTGTCACTTGTAGTTGAAGCTAACAGTTAGAAACGTGATTCTGGGTTCAAAGAATCGAAGTTTGCTGGACTGATGGGAGTTGTAGTCTTAGGACTGTGGTTTGTAGTCCCATGCTGGTCACAATTTTTATTCCTAAAATGAATTTGCTCTGTTTGCTCTGATTCTTCTCCAAGAGTAATGGAAGTTGTGCCATGAATGGAGACCTTTCAAAGCTTTTAAACCATTGTCATGGCAAGCTTTTCTAGCTCTTTCTTTCTTGGAAATATTGTGTGTGGGTCAAGGTTAAGACTGTGTTGTTTGGCTGGGCCACACATCAGTGGCATTGTGCTCTGCAGTCCAGCCTTTAGAGATGAATATGGGGAGGTGAATAGATGATAGATTCTTTTAGTCATAGCAGTAATGTCCATGAGTACTGCAGAGAAAAATAGAACATAGTGTAAAACATGCCGCTACACTCTTCACTACACGGCAAATACGTGTAATTTTTGGAGACTCTATAATTGTATAGATTTTTTTTACATTGTGCAGACGTTCTTCACACTTAGGAATGTCATTTAAAAAAAATAATGTTTTAAAGACGACCAGTAAAAGGTTCTCCAGGGAGTGATTATATCTCCAAAGTACCCTTTATACAATACCCTATAATTTTCCACTTATCCCAGATGTAGTCGATCAGCCAAGGTATGTTTAGCGTCCAAATTTTGCTTATTAGCTATGAGGGTATTGTAGCTAATGTATGTCAATAGTCACCCAAATCTTTTCTGTAAGTACAATTCCTAGTGTAGGTAAAAAATTGTGTAAATTAGATTTTTTGTTGAGCTATTTCTTTAAATTCTGCTCTCATATTCATAAGGTTTTCAGAAACCTCTTCAATGAAACACAAGAGCATTGTGTCTGTTTTAATTGGCCTTTTTCAAAATTCTGTTAACGTGTGTGTGTGGGTGTGTGTGTGTGTGTGTGTGGGTGTGTGTGTGTGGGTGTGTGTGTGGGTGTGTGGGTGTGTGTGTGTGTGTGGGTGTGTGTGTGTCTGTGTGTGAGAAGGCTAATTTAGGGTTTCGTGGCTGAGGGCAGTGAGCTGTAATTGGAGTCGCCCTGCTGCAGTGCAGGTTAACACACTCTGATTAACAACTGATTAACTTCATCTCAGAGCAACAGCTGCCACTGCAGCACTTTCTACAACGAGTCTTGAGTCTCTGGGATGTGAATCTGAGTCGAGTCTCAGAGATGAGAGTTCGAGTGTTGAGTCTCTGGAGTGCAAGTTCAAGTCTTGAGTCTCTGAGTTGTCCAAGTTGAGTCTCTAGGGTTCAAGTCCAGGATGAGTCTCAAGTATCTAGGGTGCGAGTCAGAGTCAAGTGTCCAGTCTCTGAGTTGTGAGTATGGATTCTCTAGTCTCTAAGGTTCAACTCCAAGTCTAAAATATCTGAGGTGCACGTCTGAGTTAAGTCTGGAGTCTCTGAGATTCAAGTCCAGGTTGAGTCTCTGAGGAGCAAGTCAAAGTTGACTCTCTTCAATTCAAGTTTGTCAAGTTTTTGAGATGTGAGTCAGAGTCAGGTCTTGAGCATCTGAGGTGTGAGTTTGAGTTTTGAGTCTCTGAGGTGCGACTCCAAGTCTAGTCTCTGTTCTCCGAGGTGCAAGCCTGAATCGAGTCTTGCATCTCTAAAGTGTGAGTCCGAGTCGAGTCTTGCCTCTCTGAAGTGAGTGTCTGAGTCAAGTCTCTGAGGTGCAAGTCTGAGTCAAGTCTCTGAGGTGTGGGTCCGAGTCGAGTCTCCAAAGTGCAAGTCTGAGTCTCCAGGGTGCAAGTCTGAGTCAAGTCTCTGAGGTGTGGGTCTGAGTCAAGTCTCTGAAGTGCAAGTCAGAGCCTCCAAGGTGTGGGTCTAAGTCAGGTCTCTGAGGTCAAGTCTCTGGTATGTGAGTCTGAGTCGAGTCTCCAGGGTGCGAGTCTGAGTCGAGTCTCCAGGGTGCGAGTCTGAGTCGAGTCTCCGGGATGCGGGTCTGAGTTGAGCCTCTGGTATGTAAGTTTGAGTTGAGTCTCCAGGGTGCAAGTCTAAGTCAAGTCTCTGGGATGAGAGTCTGAGTCGAGTCTCTGGGATGCGAGTCTGAGTCGAGTCTCCTGGGTGCGAGTCTGAGTCGAGTCTCCAGGGTGCGAGTCTGAGTCGAGTCTCCGGGATGCGAGTCTGAGTCGAGTCTCCAGGGTGCGAGTCTGAGTCAAGTTTCTGGGATGCGAGTCTGAGTCGCGTTTCCAGGGTGCAAGTCTGAGTCGAGTCTCCAGGGTGCGAGTCTGAGTCGAATCTCTGGGATGCGGGTCTGAGTTGAGCCTCTGGTATGTGAATTTGATTCGAGTCTCTGGTGAGTTTGAGTCGAGTCTCTGGGATTGGATCTTAAATTGATAGATTATTTGAAAGTTCCTTACGCCTTTAAAAGGTTCTTCATACTTTTAAATCTCTTTCAGACGTGGTTCTTTAGGGAGGTTTCAGTTTCAGTTTGTTTTGCCTGTTTCCTTTAAAGGCCACATCTGTAGCACGTGTAGCGCTTCTTTCTCCATAATGAAAGGCTGCTGATTTGATATCAGTACTGATGCCGCTGTGAGTTTCAGGAGAGCAACACTGCAGTGTTGACAGCCAGCCTGCTTGTGTACCTTCATAGACGTAGTGTAAACACTGTTGTCCTTCACATTAATGAAATCTCTAATAGTGTTTTTGTTTGAGTGGGTGAACGTTTAGAGATTTAACGCTCCATTATAAACAGCTTTTATGCTGTAATGCCGTCAGGCTGCTAAAGGCTTCCGCTGAGCAGGTTATCGCGTCTAACAGATTAGCCCGTCTGATCTCTGAGAAAACAGCCGACGTGGCACTTTCCTCCACACAGCGTTTAACTCCTCGCTCGTTAGCATGCTGCTTCGTTTAAGATGGTTGCTCCGGATTAGCCGGCGGATCAAAGTTCGGCCCAAAACCCATTTTTCGCCAAACATTTAATCCCATAATAGGAAAAAGCTATTCCAGCATGCTAATTACTGAAGGTATGGGAAAGGCAGTGTGTCTTGCGCTTGAATGTGCATTAATGGGAATTCAATTGGTTTCCATCTGTTATTAATACTTTATTACATGTAGTAGCAGCATTATATTAAGGATAAACTTTGCAGCTCAATTAAAAAACAGTGCTGAGAAAACGTTATGCAAGTTCTGAACTTTGGAAAAAGTGGCTTGGATGAGCATTGAATTCACCTAATTTTCCTGTTATTAATGATTTGTTAATGTAGACATGTAGTGCATCTTATTACATGTAATAAGTTGAGCAAGAATAAACTTTGTAGCCCAAGATCAACCTTGTGAATGCTTTCTAGCATGCTAGGGACAGAAATATAGAAAAAGCAGCTTGATTTACGCATTGAGTGTGACTTCAGTTGTTTTTCATGTTTTATTAGCGCTGTAGTACACATTTATTACATGTAATAAGTGTTGTAGCACTGAACAAGAATAAATACAGGGTAATCAAGAATAACAATGCATTTAAACAGTGTTTAAGTCTTTTCTATTGTACCATATTTTTAGCATGCTGCTTTGTTTAAGACAGGAAGTCTGGATTAACCAGTGGATCAAAGTTTGTTTTTTTTTCCAAAACTCCCAAACTATATGATTATTTTGGGAGATGTGGGAAAGTTACATGCTTAAATGTAAATTAAATGCTATCAATGTGCTATTAATAATTTATTTCATATTTATTACATGTAATAAGAGGTCTTGTTGAGCTGAATCAGTTTTTTCTGGTCTAATTTAAAAAAATAAATAATTATAAGTAAAGTAATAGTGTTTATCTCCTGCCTGTGATTTCGCTTGTTAGCATGCTGCTTCATTTAAGATTGGGCTGGATTGCGCAGGGTTAGCCAGTTAATCAAAGGGATTAAACCTGTTTTGATCCCATAATAATAGTGAAAGCTAGTCCAGCATGATAATTACTGGACTTATCTGCCTTAAGATTGGTACTCTGGGTTAAACAGCGGATCAACGTTAGCTCTGAAACCCATTTTTCACCAAATGTTTAACCTCATAATACTTGAAAGATATGGGGAACATAGCATGATGAATGCTTAAATATGACTTCAGCTGCTATTCATGTGTCATTACTATTTTATTATCTATCTATTACATGTAATGGCATTATGGCACTGAAAAAGGATTTTTTTGTAGGCTAATTAAAAACAGTGATGCAACCGTGTGATCGTGTTCTGCCTGTGATTTCACTTGTTAGCATGCTGCTTCATGTTAAATCTGGATTGCTTTTGATTAGCCAGTGGATCAAAGTTCTCCCCAAAACCTGTTTTTTTGATCCCACAATAACAGTGAAAGCTACTCTAGCATGCTAATTGCTGGAAGTGTGGGAAAGGCAGCATGAATGTGCATTGAATGTGAATTTAGCTGCCACTTGGGTGCAGTTATAACACATTTAATATGTATGATATTATAAAGCTGATCAGGAGTACATTTTGTAAGTAATTAATAACAACGCCTTAAAAACCTCATACCTCTGACTGCACTTGTTAGCACGGTGCTTCACCCAAGTTTGGTTCTCAGAGCAAAGTTCACCCCAAATCCTTTTTTGGACAGACATTTAATCCCAAAATAGAGAAAAAATAATTCCAGAATGCTCATGGCAGATTGGCATGCCCTGGATTGTGTATTTAATGCATATTCCAGTGCTATCCATGTGTTGTTAATACTTTATTACATGTTTATTATATGTTATAATGGTGTTATGGAGCTGAGCAGCGTTGAATTTAGCAGGGGGGTCAAGACTAATGATGCTGCCTTATGGTATTTAACACCTGCTTGTGATTTTACTTCTAAATGCAGAAACTTTCCTAGCATGCTTTGTACATGAACTGTGAAAAAACAAGCTAATCTTTGATCTTTGCAGTTATCTGTCTGGTGGGGCTGGGGCTGGTGGTCTTCTTCTTCAGCTTTCTTCTGTCCATCTTCCGGTCCAAGTATCATGGTTACCCCTACAGGTGAGTTGATCACATTACAAACCAGCAGGTCCAACTGACTTGGACATAAGATTTACCTGAGCATAGAATTTCATTAGCATCTATAAGAAATAGGCCCCAAAACACTGAATGAGAATATTTATTACACCTAATAATGGTGCTGTAGAGCTGAAAAAGAAAACTCTTATATAGCAGTCAACATGAATTCAACTGCTTTCCATGTATTTGTACGTCTTGTGTGCTTATTACATAGTCTTAACATATTATTACATATGTATTACATGTAATAATGGTATAATAACGCTAAAAACAATACTTTTCTGTATGTTATGTAATAACAATGATGAAGTGATATCAAATTTTCATGATATGCAACTTATATTTCTCTTTCTGTCTCTGCTACTCTCAGCTTCCTGATTAAATGAAGCCACAAGGATTTCAGGAGCTTCATTTTGGGAATTTTATGTCTGATTTAAGTACCACACAAACACACACACACACACACACACACACACACACACACACACACACTAAAACCCTTGCTGTATCACTGACTGATGTGAAATAAATCTAAACGAGACTGGACTTAATATGATGCCTGATTATTGTGTTGTTGATTGCACATGCATGTGTTCTTATTTGTTTGATGAAAAATGCCTTTTGGTTCATTACCTACAGATTTTATTAGAAAAAGTAAAAAAGATCAGCATTTATCTTATGGTTTCCGAGGTTAAGGTAAGAGTTTGGTTATGATCTGGAAAAAGATTAGAGCTCTGCATAATAACAAACAGAGCAGCTCTAGTAAAAGAGATTAACTTTTATAAAATAACAAAACAAAGTGAAATCAAACACACAATTAACTCCCTTCCTCCCCACCTAGTGATGAACAGGTGAAAACACAAATCTCACCACACTTACCCATCTCCCCACAGTGTGTATGCACTACCATACAAGACTGCAAGAGATAGAGATATATATATATATATATATATATATATATATATATATATATATATTCATGTACAACACATCCAGTAGAGTTAGATAAAACAGAGGATCCAGCCTCATAACAATCCGAAAAAGAACAGAATTTACAAGAAAGAATCACACTAGTGGAGTCCTGCTGGAGTGTTTGGCATGTCTATACAAGAAAACTGTAAATGGAAGTTGTCCAATTATGAATAGAAGGTAAAATCAGCCGACCAGAATTGGAAATCAGCAATGAGAGGCAGACTCATCTGTTCAGGAATGAAAGGGAAACATGTGGCCAGGAATGGAAGGTGGAATTGTCTGATGAGTAATGAAAGGCAGAATTGGCCAACCAGGAACGGGCACACAACTGGTCCTGGAAGGCAGAATCATCCGATCAGGAAGAAAAGGTGGAATCTTCCAATCAGGTATGAAAGACAGAACCGTCTGATCAGGAGTAAAAGGTGGAATCGTAAGATCAGGAATGAAAGGCAGAATATAGCCAATCAGGATCAAACAAACACTAATCCAATCAGGAATACAAGGTTTAATTGTCCAGTCATTAACAAAAGATTGTCCAGTCATTAATTAAACACAGAATCATGGTCCGGAATGAAAGGTGGAATCTTCCAATCAGGAATGAAAGACTGAACTGTCTGATCAGGAGTAAAAGGTGGAAGGAATGAGGAATGAAAAAATCAGGAATGTGGAAGGTGGAATCTTCCAATCAGGAATGGAAAGTAGAATAATCTGATCAGGTGTGTAAGGTAGAATCATTTGATCAGGTGTAAAAGGTGAAATTATCCAGTCAGGAGAATGAAAGGCAGAATCATCTGATCGAGAGTGAAAGGTGGAATCTTCCAATCAGGAATGAAAGGCAGAACAGTATTATCAGGAGTTAAAGGTGGAATCATCCAATCAGTAATGAAAGGCAGAATTGGCCAATTAGGAACAAACACACACTCATCCGATTTGGAATGGTAGACAAAATCGTCCGATCAGGAACGGAAGGACGGAATCTTCAATCTGCATATTTAATTATCCAGTCATTAATGAAAGGTGAAGTCATCCAGTTATGAAACACGGAATTATCTGGTCAGAAATAAAAGGTGGAATCGTCCAATCAGGAATGGAAAGTGGAATAATCTGATCTCGCATGGAAGATAGAACCTTCTGATTATCCAGTCAGGAGAATTAAAGGTAGAATCATCTGATCAGGAGTAAAAGGTGGAATCATAAGATCAGGAATGAAAGGCAGAATTAGCCAATCGGGAACAAACACATACTCGTCCGATCAGGAATAGAAGACAAAATCATCCGATCAGGAATGGAAGGCGGAATCTTCAAATCAGGAATTGAAAGTTTTAATTGCCCATTCATGAACAAAAGGTGAAGTCGTCCAATTATGAATGAAACACGGAATCGTCTGGTCAGGAATAAAAGGTGGAATTGTCCAGTCAGGAATGGAAAATGGTATAATCTGATCAGGCATGGAAGGTAGAACCTTCTGATTTGGAGTGAGAGGTGAAATTATCCAGTCAGGAATGAAAGAAGGAACTGGCCAAACAGGAGTGAAGACAGTTGATTCAGAAACAAGAAGCAGAATCATCCAATCAGGAACAAAAGGTGGTATCTTGCAATTAGGAATGGAAGGCAGAAGCTTTCAGTCAAGAAGGTGGAATTCAAGAAGGTCGAATATTCTGATCAGGTGTGAAGCGGAATCATCTAGTCAAGAACGGAAGGTAGAATCATCCCATCGGGAGTGGACACACAATCAGGCAATCGGGAACGACAGGCAGAATTCTGAGGAATGGACACACAAGCCGCAAATCAGGAATGCCAGATTGTTGCTAAATTTGTGTAAGAATGAAACCGTTGTGCCTTTCCAGAGTAGACGATGGTGTCGCTTGTACAGATCAAACTCCAAAGCTGCTTTATTAGCGCACCATCGTCATTGTTGATGTTGACATTGTTGATGTTGTGGATGTTTTTGTCACTGTTGTCGGCTTTGTATTGCGTTAGCCCTTCAAGCCCATATGAAAAGCGGCCGTCAAACATCAAATCAAAGGGCCAGCATTAGATTAGAGAGAATACAAGCTGGCTGTAATCTCTCCGAGCTGTCGCTGCACATTAGGAGCTGCCACTCCAGCGCGAGTGCGTGTGTGTGGGTATGAAATGGCAATCCAATTTGTACTGTCCTGTTTTTCCTCTCCTTCCCCCGCTTCATCCTTCAGTCTTTAAGGACACCGTGCTGGAAAAAAAGGACGGATGAAAGGATGAACAGAACGAGTGTTGACGGCGGGCTAATAAAGTGATTTGGGAGCGAATGTAGCTACTGTAGCAGCACAATGAATGCTAGTACATACTCAGTATAGACTAAACATCTAAATGTTTGTAGGTGTAGACAGGGGGTTGATAACAGGTTGAGAGGGCCAGCTAGCAAGCATTAAAGCCCAGAGACGGTGGTGTTGTAAGGATAGTGACCTCCAACTAGCCAACTTCCTTATACACTGTTAAAAAAGATGGTTCTTCAAGGGTTCTTTAGCAAAGGAAGTGTTTCTGTATAGAACCATGACCACTCAAAGAACCCTTTGAAAGCTTGATTAAAGGATTTTTACTTCATGAAAGGGTTCTTAAGATCCATCTACACTCTCAGAAAAAATGGACGAAGCTGTCACTGGCGAAGTACCCCTCTTGTCACTGGGGTGGTCCTGGGTTGAGGTACATTTACATTGTATGTACCTTGATAAATGAAAAATGTACCTGCACAGTACCTTTATTTATTTATTTATACAGTGTACAGTACATTCTCCACCAATCTGAAGAACCCTTTCACTCTGCAAAGAACCCTTTAGTTATGCAAAAGAATCTTTGAGTGTTCATTGTTCTTTATAGAACCATTTTCTTTATTAAAGAACCCTTGAAGAACGATTTTTTTAGAAGTGTCTGGCTAAATCGCTCACATCAGTTCACATCAGTAGTGAACATTTTTGATTAAACACAACACAGGTTTACCTCACATTTAGCTAACACAACTGGCCTTTTACATCATTAGGTATAGATATCTAGGGCAAGTGGGTGAAGACTGTGATGACCTTGCTGACCATGGTCAACTACTACTACTCACTAGGTAGTGAAGGAGCACAGCTCAGCTCTCGCCTTCAAGAGAAACAGTTGGGCAAGCTAATGCCTGCTTCCAAATAGGACGCATAGGCTGCCCCAGGTGCCCCTGGTTTGTATACACCTGATCCAGAGCTTCTTCTGGAATCAAAGGGAGTTTGTTCCACCTCTGTTGCAGTAACAGCCTCCACTCTCCTGCAAAGGCTTTACATCAGATGTTGGAACATTTCTGTGAGGACTTGATTGAGCCAGAAGAGCATTACTGAACACAAACTCTACTTAAGCTCAAGAGTTTCATCACTCCAGAGAACACAGTTCCACAGCTTTTCCACAGTCCCTCTAGTCGAAGCTTGGCATTTGGCATGGTGACCTTCGGTTCATGTGTGGTTGCTTCAGAGCATCTCATTCTACTGGTCAGCACATTTCTGAGGAGGTTAAACAAATTAGGCTTGCACATGTGAATACCTGGGTTGGCAATGGTTGCATCCACTGTCCACAAGGACCTCTGAATCTAACCTGGTGTTCTCCATGGAAAAAATGAATGGGATTTTTAAAAAATCTACACTTTATTAGTTTTAGAAACACAGGCTTTTTATTTTATTGTTCTGGTTTAAAACATTAGGTTATGGAAATGTACAAATATGTATTTTTTTACCTGAAAAAAAAACTTATTTAAGGTTCACAATTGGACCTTAAAACCACTGTTGTGCCTTTGAGGTACATTTACATTGTTTGTACCTTGATGGACGAAAAATGTACCTGCACAGAACCTTTATTTCTAACAGTTTACACTGAAACAGAACAATAAAATAAAAAGCCTGGAGATGAGACAGGGTGTGTGGAGTCAACACAACTTACCGTACCAACTTAATGTACCACCCCAGTGACAAGAGGAGTACAGCCTCAGCAACAGTTAGGTACCCTTATTTCTGAGACTGTATAGAGGAGCTGTTGATGGGCTATGGTCTGTAATTATACACCTGTATACTGTCTATAGTGGACCTATAAGGTATGTGTTTCCAATAAAGTGGCCAATGGGTGAAGGTACAGGGTATCTGCACCTAATAAAGTGGCAAGGCAGGATATTTCTTTAATTATGTAATCTCGATGCTTCATCTTGAAGAGTTAGAGTCGTTTCCTAATGGCCGTCAGCTCCCTGTCATCTTCCTCTCTTATCTGCCCCTCCAGGGGACGTGCGAGAGAAAGAGAGAGAGAGACTATTATCAAATTCATAAACATCATTAGCATTTCACTCTCATGTCCTCTAAAAATAACTTTAAAAAAGCTTAATTGCTGCTTCTTTTATTTATGATTTTTGCCTTTTATTAAAATTAGAAGAGGCTTTTGATGGCACATACTCGGGGTCATACGTCACTGTATGTGTGCACAGGCTGGCAGGGTGGACATGTACTTCACTGACCTCTATTACAGCAGTCAGGCACAATGCAAACATAACATGCAAGTGTGTCCACCCTTCAGCACAGCTTCCATCCTTTCCAGG